ATGCAAAGGTCCTCATCCTGGTTCTTCCCACTGTTTGCAGTCATCTTCCTTCTTTCAGGAGAAGCATCCTGCCTTATAAACAGGCCTGTGTTTTTGCCTCATTGGATACAACTTAAAATTGTGGGAATCCAAGGCAAAATGCTGGGCATTTATCAGACAACCCACAGTACGCTTTCAGCATCCCAAGTACTGATGCAGCCTACCCCAGAGTCCTGTAAAGGGATTTGCAAACCTCAGCCCTGCAAGATGAATTCTCCCTCAGTCATCTTCCAAGGCTTTCGAATCACTCTCACTTTCCCTGTTCTCTAATGATTTCCTTTCCTTGTCGAACAGGCTTGCACTACTTTTGCATTAAGAATTCAATTATTTGGATCAGATGCTAAAAATATCTCCGGCTCTGATACCGCATAATCCGACAGGGCTGATAAAATACAAGCAAGAGCGCCTAAGGAAATATTTAGAACGTGCTGCTATGGTTACTCTCCGAGCAGGGGTGAACGCCTCTCCCAGCTTCAAAAATCCTTTAAGAAAAGATGCATATCGCTTTCATCAGTGGCTGGGCTTGACTTTGAAACTACTTCAGAAAAAAAGTTTTGTACTTCTTTGTAGAGAGGAAATGACCCAGCTATCAACCGTGCTGGAAGGTGGTAACTATCTGGGTCACAGTGCTGGCTCTGGGATGACTGATAGGCTAAATCTGGTCACTGGCCTTCCAGAAAAAATGCCACCCCGAAGAGAGCGGTCATCTGAGAGATCTTCAAAGCAATAACAGTCCCGCTCCTACGGCACTATTCAACACAAAGCTATTTCCGCTTTTCTAAAGTTACAGAAAAACATGACCTTGAATTGTTGTTGGCTCAGAAAAAGATGGAGTTTAGGAAGAAAATGGAGTTGGATTATTTTGAATGAATTGTTACACTCTTTACCTTAGGACACTAGATGTTGAGAAACATATTTCGCATTTGCAAACAGCCTCTAAGACCTAGGAATGGGATGAGCTAGGAATGGGAACATAAATAAATACGATAGGAGGATGAAGCAACCCAATTCGAAACTTCAAAGCTCTAATGGCAGAAGTATTCATGAGAAGGATCACGTTTTAGAAACCGTTATTGACTTTTTCCACTACCAATTAAATTTTCTTTAAAAATCCACTCAAATAAGCAGATTTGAGTAAATACATTCAAAGCTCAAAATTTACTCAAGAAATGTAGCCTGCTTTTCTGTTAGTCATAGGTCTGAGAGAAGACTGCTGCCTTCTCAAAGTTTAATCATTATTTGCATTCATTCAATGAACCTTCTGTGCATTTTTGAAAATTGTGATTATATGGAATGACTGCTAAAAATGTATTTCACGGGTAGTTGCTGCTTAGTATTCACCCTACTTTAGTGTCCCATAAAATAAATGGCACTGATATTTAACATCAGGGGTGTCTCATCCCACCTGTTAAAAGTTATGGAACAGATCTACAACTGAGTGCGATTTTATTGTATCACAGTCTAATGCCCTGATACTGAAGACATTATTAGAAGCACATCCTACTGATTTCACTGGGATTAACAAATTGACCAAGGTGACAGGTACATAGTTCTGCAAGGACCGCTTCTCACACTATTTAATTCTTAGAGGTGTATAATCTGTGTTGGGAATTTGTCTGTGCAGGGTCATTTGTGAAAGTATCTATTTTTCTCAGTTCATCCATCCCGCTTCTATCCTCCAAACTCCAAAGGCCTCAAAGTGTAAAAGGAAATTTTGTTTCCCCACCCACAATGACCCTGTGAAGTAGGTTAGACTGAGGTCCTTATGTCCCTTGGGTACCCCCCTCCCATTTCCAGGAGTGGTGAGGCAACATGCTCCCCAGCATGGCTCAATGGCCCATGGAGTATTGGGGGGAAATCACTCTGCATCAGCAACAATAAAGGTAATTTAATTTAAACAAATGCTCAAGTGATTTTCCCCCAATAACCTAAAAGCTATAGGGAGACATTCTTTTAAAAGATTTAAAAATACAGGGAAATTATTTATTAAAACAAGATTAAAGGAAAATATTGAGTATGAACAGTTTAAAATTTTTCCTTATAATTTACTTATATATAGGTAAGACCCCTGGATGGTTAAGTCCAGTCAAAGGTGACTATGGGGTCGCTTTCAGGTTGAGGGAGCTGGCATTTGTCCACATACAGCTTTCCAGTATACGAAAACGCTTCTGGCGCAACGGAACACCGTGACGGAAGCCAGAGCACACGGAAACGCCGTTTACCTTCCTGCCACAGTGGTACCTACACAGGCGGCAACCATTTTAGGCATGTCGAACTGACGTGCAACCGGCGACACGCGTGTCCTTTTGGACCTGGAAAAGGGAGGAATGAGGGCGGAACACGGCGGAATGGTGGCAAGGCTGTAACACAGCATAACGGGGCATAGCAGGCTTATGCGTGATCCACAGATGTGTTTGGGGGCCAGGAATGGAACCCCTGTGCAAAATAGTTGCTGTCTGTACCAGACACTTTTTGATGTAAATACGGTTATAATATTAAGTGCGGTATTATGATTTCAGGTGAGACACAACAGTAGAAACTGATGAATACCTAAGTAGTAAACAAACATCTTGCATCCATGTAGAGTTTCTGAATGTAAAAAGCAATAAGAAAGAATAAATTATAGATCTGCTTCTGCACAAAATATCTGGCACTGAAGTTAGAAACACATTTCCCATCAATATTTGTGCTGGCTTTCTCCTCATGTATTCTTGTGAATTGACATTTTAACCTCATTCAAGTTTGTAATCAAGCCAAGAAAATTCAACTTTGAATGGCATTCATGCTGGCCTAATTTTGGAAGTGGTAGCAGGAGAAAAGGAAAAGTATTACGGATCCTCACATGGTTGCCTTCATAAAACGTTTATAATTATGCACCACCCTCAAAAAGTCACACATAAGTACTGGCTGCCTTTCCAGATCTTCCATCTGCTCTTAATTCCCTAACTTGAAACTCAAACAGGGTGGACTCATTAAATCAAGGCAATTTGAATTTCTGATGAGTAACATGAAGGCAAAGTACCATTTTAATCCTTCAGTTAAACCATTTCCCATTTGTTCTTCAAATATTTTCTAAACAAAAGTTCCTACCATTTAAACATGTGGCAGTAATATTAATTAGAACTTTTTTCTACACAGCAGATCACTGAAAATATTTGCTCACATACATTTTGTACTATAGTATACTATCTGTTTAGAACAAGGATGTGGGCCCTTCAGACTACAACTCCCATCATCCCTGAGGCTTGTGAGAGTTAGAGTTCAACAACATATGGAGGCAAAGGTGACATTTCATTTCTCTCATCTCTGCCATATCTGACTTGCACTTGCACCAACACTGTTGCCTTGTGTCAAATCTCTGCACCAGTGCAGCATTTTGCTGCACCAGTTCCACACTTTGACATGTAACATAGTACTAGTATAATGATCCTGCACTTGATCATTTCTGCTTCTTGATTTGAATGGCAAACAGTAGGTCCCAAGAGAATCACCTCTTCCCATATCAGCCTGCCCACTTGTTAAAATCAGGGCGAGAATGCTCTGTCCTATGACTCATCCAAGGCCAAAAACATGGCTGGGAAAAGGGATCAGGCTTTTTGCTACTTGTCTACGAAAATAAGAAGTTCCTGCTGGATCAGGCTGAATGTCCCTCCTAGTCCAGCATCTTGTTCTCATGGTGACCAAGTAGACATCTATGGGAAGCCTGAAAGCAGGACCGGAGCACAAGAGCATTTCCCCTCTTATGGTTCCCAACGGTGCAGCAATAAAACTGCAAGCACATTTGCAAAGATAAGCAGGTTCCAGTATGGTTTCAAATTGGGTGGGAGACTACATGTTGGGTCCCTTCCAATACTACAATTCTATGATTCTATGAACTGGAATTTAGAGGCATACTGCCTCCTAAAGAAAGGGGGGCTTTTCTCTATCTACTTTGTCCATAGGTAAAGGTAAAGGGACCCCTGACCATTAGGTCTAGTCGTGACTGACTCTGGGGTTGCAGCGCTCATCTCGCTTTATTGGCCGAGGAAACTGGCGTACAGCTTCCAGGTCATGTGGCCAGCATGACTAAGCCGCTTCTGGCGAACCAGAGCAGCGCACGGAAACGCCGTTTACCTTCCCGCCGGAGTGGTACCTATTTATCTACTTGCCCTTTGACGTGCTTTCGAACTGCTAGGTTGGAAGGAGCAGGGACTGAGCAATGGGAGCTCACCCCGTCGCAGGGATTCGAACCGCCGACCTTCTGATCGGGAAGTCCTAGGCTCTGTGGTTTAACCCACAGCGCCACCCGCGTCCTTTGTCCATACCCAGGCATAATTTTATATACCTCTAATATGTCTCCTTCTACTTGCCTGTTCTCTGAACTAAGAAGCCCCCAAAGTTGCAGCCTTTCTGTACAGAGCATTGCTCCATCCCCTTGATTATTTTGCCTGCCCTTTCTGACCGTTTTCCAGCTCTGCAAGAATCCTTTTTGAGGTGAAGCAACAGGAAATGCAAACAGTATTCCACATGCAGTCACACCATAGATTTGTAAAATGGCATTATGATATTGACAGCTTTATTTTCAGTTCCTTTCTTAATGATCCCTAGCATGGAATCCATCTTTTTCACAGCTGCAGAACACTGGGTCTATTCTCTCTGAAAGAAGTAAAATAAATCCCTTAGGGCCTGGAGGTTTTTTTTGAGCCCTGGACAAGGAAACTACTGACCCCAGAAGTGTTGTGCCTCCTTTGGCACCACTCCTGCCTGCCTCTTACTTTCCCCCCAAACATACTGTACCATAACATCCTTTTCATAACTGCCTAGGACTAAGGCAGTATGACAGCATGAATATTGTTCTGAAGGAAGGAAAACAGAGCCTTGGAACATTGGACATAATTTCATCAGCAAGGAGAGGGATGGCTGGCCAATCCCATCGACCTTGAAATAAATGTACTGAAAAAGAAAACAGAAGCAAAACTTACTGGCAGATGGGAACAGGTTCCTTACTGCATGTTCCTCCATTTTTGCAATATGCCTCGGGACAATCTGGAGGGTGAGAAAATAAGTTACAAACATTATTTAAGTATGACAAGAGTTATTGACATATGTAAACGTTGGACATATTCATTAGACAATATACAATTGGAAGATTTGCCATCTAAAGGATAATATTCCATAACTGCCTGAGGTAAGTTTATATTTTATACTTTTAAAAAAAATCCACACACACCCCAAATCCACAACCACACCCTGTTTTGCCTATGCAACTTAGCTTATATATTTCAATACATACATACAGTAGTACTAAATGTGCTGTATTGACAAAGTCAAGCCCCATTTATTTCAATGGGACAATTAAACACATGCCTTTCTTCATTTATAAAGGGAATGGTCCAGCTGACTTCAACAGTACTAAATGGCTGGATCACACCTAATATTTCTATGTTACCATAAGAAGCTTTAGACACAGAACTCTACTATACAATGTAGAAGGTGATATTGACTGGTTTACTGAGGCAAATCCTACTTTTCTGTCAGTGCTAGCTCTGGGTTTTGAGAGGTCCTTGAGCAAAGTCCCTCAGTGGAACTTCCCCCACCCCCTTGCCCTTCCTGCAAGTGCTTATTTCTGCTTCTGGACCCAATACACACAATGGTCCATGAAGAAATGGGAAGCGAGTGAGCCAGCAGTGGCAAGTGGCAGTTTCTCCTGCTCACTACCATGGTTTGCTGCTGCTCTCTTTCTGCGCCAGTGAGAAATGACGAATAGGTGGCACTGGCAAGAGGAACAGCAACAAGGCCAAGTAGGTGCAGCATAGGCCTTGCCAGGTGCCCACTGATGCTGACCTCTGATGCTGACCCTGTTTTCTATTTTAAGTTTCAAATATCTATGCCTATTTAACATTATTCATTAGGGTTGTCAGCTTGCAAACCAAAGACTCTCCCATACTTTGACTCTAGCACTGAACTGGTAGATTAAAGAAGCTACAGGCTTTAAAAAAATATCCCTCTTTCTTTGATCACTCCTCCTTCCTTGTTCTTCTTGTACCTACTATGTAGCTTGCTACAGCAAACAAAGGAGATGGAGAGAAGAAAGGCACTGGAAAACATGGGAGAGAGAAGCCATAGCTGCTTTGTGGTACAGGGGAGTTTATGAGTTGCAACCTGGCAACTCTAATCTCAGACAATTTCACTGCCTTTAATGTGTTTTGTTTTGGTACAGCATGTATTTTCTCTCCCAAATATGTCTAAACACAGTTACACACTCAAAATGCACATAAGCGTTCTCCAAGATAAATTCAAAAACATTTCATTGCAGTGAACCCTTCATGATTTTCCACATCAGTGACTCTGAGGTGGTGGACTCCACCATGCATGGGAACGCAGCCCGCTTCATCAACCACTCATGTGAGTGGTTTTCTGTAGGCTAAAGAAAAATCCTGTTTATTGTGAATGAAATTTTGACTAAAAAATTGGCAGACTACCTGAACAGCTAGACTCATCAGGAGCAAAATCAATGCAATCTACAATGCCATCACATCGCCGAGAAAATGGAATACAGCTATTAGTCGATGGACACAACAAGGACCCATTGAAGCAATCTTTAATAGCTAAATGAAAGGAGAAACAAACAAGATGGTTAGAGAGCCTTGTTATTTAGTGATACAACATGGCAACAAGACAAATAGCTGGTTATTCACTTTAACCTTACAGAAATGTTATAGGGTCTGTTCTGGTTCCTAGTCATCTTTGTGGCAGCCCCTTTAAATCCAAATTGTTAGTTTTAATCTATAAAGTTCTAAACTGCTTGGTTCTGAGTATGTGCAGGAGTTTAATTTCATTCCTATGCTCCATTGTGTTCTCTAATTTCCCCGTGGAGATCCAGGCATGCTCTGTCTATGGAATATTTCTGACGACAACTGAAAATGTACCTGTTTAGCCAGGCACTTCCCTGTCTTTAATACTGGTTCTCAGCATTCCCAGTTTACTGTGATTGATTTTTGAATTTTGTTTTATTGAGCTGGTGATATTGTGTTATTTTATTTATATATGAAACACCTTGGGTTTCCTCCCCCCCCCCAATGGAAAGTATATAAATTATCAGTATGTGTGGGTGTGTTTGTGTATTATTACAAGAATAATAGATAAATAATACATTTGACAGTGCATGTGACATATGCGCAGCACTCTCAAAATATGTGTCATGTGACTGTGTGTACAAGAATTCTCAACAGATGCTCCAGAAGAGTTTATCTTTCCAGTGGAGATGCTTCAAATACTATCCCTTAAAGCCATTCTGTACAATGAATGTACACAGTTTGACTGCTCAGCAGTTGATGACTCAGTGGACTGTCTGAACTGACTCCATTGACAAGTATGACATGGTTTGAAACATCTCTGCATATTGTATGCCATATGTGGTGGCTCCCCGTTTGCAGAATGTTCTCCCCAGGGAGGCTGGCTGGTGCCAGCATTATATATCTTTAGTTGCCAGGCAAAAACTTTCCTCCATACCTAGGCCACTGGCCTTTAACTATCTTTGGCCTTTTAGAAGTGGGAGAGATGTTTTTAATGTATTTCTTTTCCCCCTTGGTTTTTTATTTTTAAAAAATGTTTGGCTCTTTGGGTTGCCTTATATAATAATATTATATATATATATATATATATATATATATATGCTTTCGTAGATTTTCACGGGTACAGGAATGCAGGTTTTGGTGTTCTCGGGTGTCTTCCCGTGTAAAAGTTGGGGTGTCTAGGCGACGTTTCGACGAGGTCTCACTCGTCATCTTCAGGCTGGTGCTTTCGGCTTCTTGTTACTGGAACAGAGCAGGATCTCAGTGTTTGAGTTCCTATAAATACTGTTGAGGAGGTGTGGTGTATAGCCTCCAATGTTCTGGGCAGAGAGGAGGTTCCCAGGCTAGTGTGCCTTTTCTTCTTTTGTTCCTTAATTACTTGAGGGATATCTTGAGTGATTTCTTGAGTGATATCCTGAGTACCACTTAGGTGGGTCATTAGGTGTGGATTAGTTGCTAAAGCCTTCGTGTCTTGACCTCTTGAACTTTGTGAAGAGTTTTTCTGAGAAGATGGCTGTACTGCACTTAGTTGTGCTCTGGCTTGGCTTCGTGTATAGGGGCGAGCTGTGGTTTTGTGGCCTGTGCCAGCCAGATCTGTGTAGGGATTGCAGGGGGGTGCAGCATCCGGAGGTGCCACCATGGTTTGGCTACTGGATGGTGTCTGTAATTTATCTGTGGAGAGGGTCTGGGTTTGGGTCTGGTGTGGTCGGTTGGTGATGGTGTTCTGTGTGCCTCTGGATCTGGTGTCGGTTTTTGTGGGGAGGGCTAATTTCCAGATGTCTGGCAGGCGGGATGTGTCGTCACGCTTGTTCATGTTGTGAGGGTGTTTCTCTATCTCGATGGCTTCCATGATTATTCTCTTGTGGTGATGTTCCATGTTAAAGAGCAATTTGGAATCTGCAAAATTAATTTCGTGTCCTGTTTCTTTCATGTGTTGGAAAAGAGAGGAAGTTTTTTCTTCTTTTTTGACGGCATTCTTGTGTTCTGCGATACGTGCATTTATTCGTCTGTTTGTTTGTCCAATGTACGTGGCTGGGCAGACTTTGCAGGGTATTTCATAGACCCCTTGGTTTTCCAACTGGATTTTATCCTTGGGGTTTCTGAGGATATTGGCTATTTTTTGGTTGGTGCAAAAGGCTGTTTTGATATTGTGTTTATGGAGGATTTTGCTAATTTTATCTGTAGTGCCCTTGATATAAGGAAGGAGGGCCATGCCATTGTTTTCTTCTGTGTCTTGGTTTTTGGGGGGTGTTTCTTTTTGGATTAGCTTCGTAACCCTGTTTTGCTGGTATCCATTGGCGATTAACACATTTGAGAGATTCTGTAACTCAGTTGTCAAGTGGTCTTTGTCAGCCAGGCGTTTGGTTCTGGAGATGAGAGTCTTGGCTACGGAGTTTATTTGTGCAGGGTGGTGGTGTGATTGTGCATGTAAGTAGCGGTTGGTGTGTGTTTTTTTCCGGTAGATAGTGTGTCCTAGGGAGCCATCAGGTTTTTTGTAGATTAGGACGTCAAGGAAGGGAAGTTGGTTGTTGGCTTCTATTTCCATAGTGAATTGTATTTTGGGGTGTAGGCTGTTGAGATGTGTGAGGAAGCTATCTAGTTTTTCCTTCCCGTGTGGCCAAATTACAAAGGTGTCGTCAACATACCTGAGCCAAAGTTTGGGTTTGTGTTCTGACTTGTCTAAAGCATTGGTTTCAAAGTGTTCCATGTACAGGTTTGCGATGACCGGTGAGAGGGGTGATCCCATAGGTGCTCCTTCTATCTGTTTGTATCTTTGTCCATTGTGGATGAAGTACGTGTTGGTTAGGCAGTGGTTGGTCAGGTCCAGGATGTATTCGGGGGGATTGTATTTGTTTTGAATGGCTGTCAAGGCTTCATTAATGGGCACTTGTGTGAAGAGAGATACAACATCGAAGCTCACAAGTAGGTCATTGGGATGTAGGTTTTGCTTCTTTATTGTTTCTATGAACTGGAAGGAGTTTGTAACGTGTGAAGAGATGGATTCTGCATAGGGCTGAAGTTGCTTAGCGAGAAATTTAGCGAGATTTTGTAGAGGTGAGCCTATGGAGCTGACTATTGGTCTGAGTGGTGTTCCTTCTTTGTGTATCTTGGGGAGGCCGTAGAGTTTGGGGCATCTGGATGATTTTTCTCTGGGGATGATTCTTAGCTGGATTTCTTCACTGATGGGAGAGGCTTTTATTTTGGATTTGGTGGTTTTTTTCCAGATAGGTGGTGGGATCTGTTTTTATAGGTTGGTAGGTAGGGTCTTGGAGTAGATTTGATAGTTTTGCTTGGTAGTCCGATGTGTTCATCACAACAGTGGCATTACCTTTGTCTGCTGGGAGAATGAGTATGTTGTTGTCTTTCCTCAGGTTGGTGAGTGCTTTCTGTTCTTCTTTGTGTAAATTGCTTCTGGGTGGTTTGCTGGAGCAGAGGATGTTGGTGACTTCAAGTCTGATTTTATTGGCTTCATCTGGGTTGATTTTGGTTAGGCTGGCTTCGACTCCGCATATGATGTTTTCCGTGGGGATGCGTCTCGGGGCGACTGCAAAGTTGAAACCTTTGGAGAGTACTTTGGTTTCTGTTGAGGTGAGGATCCTGTCTGATATGTTATGTACTGTTTGTTTCATGGGTTGTTGTGGAGGGTGGCTGGGCTTCTGGCGTTTCTCTAGTTTGTGGAGTTTGTTGGTGTGTGTGTCTGTCTTATGTGAGGTCTCAGTTTCAGCTCTCCAGACGGCTAGTTGTTTGCATTTGTCCCAGAGTGGAACTATGGAAATAGAAGCCAACAACCAACTTCCCTTCCTTGACGTCCTAATCTACAAAAAACCTGATGGCTCCCTAGGACACACTATCTACCGGAAAAAAACACACACCAACCGCTACTTACATGCACAATCACACCACCACCCTGCACAAATAAACTCCGTAGCCAAGACTCTCATCTCCAGAACCAAACGCCTGGCTGACAAAGACCACTTGACAACTGAGTTACAGAATCTCTCAAATGTGTTAATCGCCAATGGATACCAGCAAAACAGGGTTACGAAGCTAATCCAAAAAGAAACACCCCCCAAAAACCAAGACACAGAAGAAAACAATGGCATGGCCCTCCTTCCTTATATCAAGGGCACTACAGATAAAATTAGCAAAATCCTCCATAAACACAATATCAAAACAGCCTTTTGCACCAACCAAAAAATAGCCAATATCCTCAGAAACCCCAAGGATAAAATCCAGTTGGAAAACCAAGGGGTCTATGAAATACCCTGCAAAGTCTGCCCAGCCACGTACATTGGACAAACAAACAGACGAATAAATGCACGTATCGCAGAACACAAGAATGCCGTCAAAAAAGAAGAAAAAACTTCCTCTCTTTTCCAACACATGAAAGAAACAGGACACGAAATTAATTTTGCAGATTCCAAATTGCTCTTTAACATGGAACATCACCACAAGAGAATAATCATGGAAGCCATCGAGATAGAGAAACACCCTCACAACATGAACAAGCGTGACGACACATCCCGCCTGCCAGACATCTGGAAATTAGCCCTCCCCACAAAAACCGACACCAGATCCAGAGGCACACAGAACACCATCACCAACCGACCACACCAGACCCAAACCCAGACCCTCTCCACAGATAAATTACAGACACCATCCAGTAGCCAAACCATGGTGGCACCTCCGGATGCTGCACCCCCCTGCAATCCCTACACAGATCTGGCTGGCACAGGCCACAAAACCACAGCTCGCCCCTATACACGAAGCCAAGCCAGAGCACAACTAAGTGCAGTACAGCCATCTCCTCAGAAAAACTCTTCACAAAGTTCAAGAGGTCAAGACACGAAGGCTTTAGCAACTAATCCACACCTAATGACCCACCTAAGTGGTACTCAGGATATCACTCAAGAAATCACTCAAGATATCCCTCAAGTAATTAAGGAACAAAAGAAGAAAAGGCACACTAGCCTGGGAACCTCCTCTCTGCCCAGAACATTGGAGGCTATACACCACACCTCCTCAACAGTATT